TCGATCGTTCAGAGAGATCGCCCTTTCATGCACGCACCCCCTCGATACTAGGTCTATCGACGGAGAAACATACGTACTTCTCTTCACCGGACTCTGAATCTGATGAGGAAAAAGCAAATGTTGCAACATCTCGAGATAGTTCCTCTCTTGAGGGCTATCAAGGACGAGATGGAAGTCCTCCCTTGCCTCCCTCTCCTAAAAGCATCGATGGAGGTGCCTAAGGAACAGAGGCTCAACCTACAGCATCCGTTGCTGTGGGGGTTACCCCCATTGCTGAGTTGGTCACAAAGGCTAAGTTCCAGGCCTTTGTTGACTCTATTCAGCGGTCCTTGGATGACCTTAAACTCATGAGGGGAAGAATCCTTCCATCACCCCGATGGAAACAGCAGCACCACCACCTCTACAAGATCAAGAACCAACCAACCAATGGAACTGAGGCAAGGGAACCAGAGGCTCAACCCTCTGATGATGTACATAATGTACAGGTTTATGTGTAAATATTAAAGCATCTTCTCAACCAACTGCAAGCACTATAAACCCATCACAACCAGCCAATGAGTTCTCACCAATTTTGGTGAGTTCTTCATCACCTTCTGATCAACAACCCTCTACCTCACAAGAACCAGCCATTCCCTTTACCCCATCACCAACACCACATTCATCACCAAAGCAACCAAAACCCACTCCCATACAACCAGAACCAACTTCCATACAACCAGAACCAACTTCTATACAACCAGAACCAACTCCTATACATCCAGAACCTACAAACCTACAACCAAAACCTACAAACCCTCAACCATAAAATACAACCCAACCAGAACCACAAATAAGCAAACAAGAACCACCCCTTAGCCAACAAGAACCACCCTTTTGCCAAACAGAACCACCCATTAGCCAACCTACCCAAACAGTGCTTGTAGATATACCCTCCTCCTCAAGGCAACCTCCATCCATCGATCGAGTGTAAGAAATCGTATCACAGATGGAGACCTTAAGGAGACGTCCATCGGTGCCGCCAAGAGAACCCATCATGATGGAAAACATCCATCAATTACTCTATCATGATCGTGACGAGCAAATTGTTCTCAATCCTCCCAACCTATCATCGGAATCGATGGAACTATCCGGCACAGATTCGTGAGACAGACGACACAACCACCACAAGCCGTCTTCTCAAATGATGGAATCAAAACGGTCCACAATATCAAGATGCGGACATTCGCGAATAGAGCCATCAAGTACATCGAGTACACCATGGAACGCACCATGGAACACGCACATGGGATGATATGCGTCTTTTCAACGACAATGATTTCATCAATCTCAATCCATGGGACTTGATTGCCTTGTATGGCCACACAACTCAGTGTCAGGATCAATGGATATGGTACGGGATGGCACATCGGCGATCGTAGAGGTGATGGGGACACTTGTAAAGTTCAGAGCTAAGAATGATTTCCAAATAGCTCTGGAACTTGGCATCGATAGACTATCGTGCAAGGCTCCAAATGAAGATTTCCCTGGACTGCAGAAGACGCACTCTGCTTCAGTCTTAACTCAACGAGAACTTGGCTTGGTCTTCAAGAACGAGTACAAGTCAAAGAAATTCTTCAGACTAACTGAGGCCTTCAAGTATTCGACAGATACACTTGAATGGTTTCAGAAGGTCATACGAAATAGACTAGGCAGAGAGCATGTGCCAAGGAAAGAAGGATAAGAGTTAATTCATGGGATCTCCATAGTCATTCGTTATAGAGGACTGATGATGCGCTTGTGGAAAATCTACAATGGAGACCATGATTGAGATGTAAAATTTTCTATCCTTATTTACTTCTGTATTGTACGAAACAATCCAATTTTCAGAAAATGAAAACTTTTGGTAAAAGGATGTTTCTACTAGATTAGTCTTTGATCATTACATTCATTTATGTTTCATAGACTAGTTATTATTTATTTTTCATTAATTAGGGGGAGATTGTTAGACCCCATAATTCTTATTGTAAAAGTAATAAAAAATGTACAAGTATGGAAGTTCAGAGGACTGATGGAAGAAGAGCTGGAAAAGACTTAAGTGCTCAAGGCGAACCAGAGATGCGATGAATGGTCCATAGATGCGATGAACAATGCATCTCCATCACCCCTCTATTTGTTAGCACTTAGAAGATTCTACGAGAGTTCAATTAGAGATATCCAAGCAAAGAAGAAACGTAAAGACTCCTGGTTGAACATACTACCTAGAAGACAATTGGAGATGACTCATCGACAGCTGGAATCGGTTACACAAGGTAGTCAGAGATAACTCCTAAATTCTAGATAGATATCTTTTCCCTAGAATATCTCAAAGATATCTTTTCACTAGATTGTTATCTCTTAGACTAGATTGCTAGTATAAATAGCTATCATATGTCTTGTAACCTTCTCATCAAAGTTACTATAGTGAAATTCTTTGAAGCTTCATATTCTCCTGAATATTTTATAAGTTGTTCATCACTATTCTTCATTCATACGATAGATTTAGGTTTCATAAACATAAATCTTCGTGTTATATTGAGAGATCTGGGATCAACAGCGAAAAATACTTAGTTCTATATGATTCAGTTTTAGCGATCATCACTGAGTCTGTTCAATGATCACTGAGCATGTATTGTAAACTTTTCTAATGAACAAGTATTCTTCAAGAAGAAGAAACTCACATCAAAGGAACCTTTGGCAATGCCAAAGATATAGTTGAAGATAGAGACAAGCGGTTACAATGATAGCAAGTGTGCCTACAATCAAGTGTGAAGTCTATCCAAGATTCAGGGAACACTAAAGAAACTCTAGAGGTATGCTAGTGCCAGCGATCAAATGAATATTGCTCTACGAGATTAGTTTTTGTCTTATCCTCATACATGCAAAGGACAACCCCATACCTCACACAGTACGTCACATGTACGGAGTCACTCTATTGCCTCCAAGCTTGCTTACCTAATTTGTGAAAGACCACTGTTTATATACGGCCAAAAGCTTGTATATCTGAAAACAAAGGACAAGTTCTCCTCCAGAAGTTTGTCACGTGCATTGTACCCTCTAACTTGCATTATATGCAATGGATATAAATAGCTAAGGAGACGCGCTTCTCTATACAGCGAAGAACAACACATACATGCAAAATTAAGTTTACTCGCGAGCAAAGTTATAGCATCTTCTCAAGCAAGCACTTTCTCTCTTGCTTTTATGTATCTTGTGTGCTTCCTAAATTGTTTAGATAAGTTCTGTATTTTATCTTCTTCCGCAAACAATCTGTAAATTTTGTAATGATCTTCTCATATCAATAAAGGATTTCAAAAAGTTAAAATTGTGTGTTTGTATTCATCCCCCCCTACAAACTATTATCCATCTGGGACCAACACGCATTCGTCTTCCACTGCCACTTTCCAAAGTCTTCGTCCCCATTCCACCTCTCAATCTAATGTGTGGATCCAGAGGCTGTATATGAACCTTTAATATAGGTAGAAAAAGTGTATAATGGAGACTTGCCAGAGTATTCATCTTCTTTGGAGATAGCCATCACGTTGCTTCAACTAGTGCTTCAATATGTTCCATCGAACGTCTATAATTAAAATCGATGTTCTGATACCACTTGCTCGGGTTTTGACACCATAAATGTCCCAAAAACAAAACAAAGTAATCAACTTTATTCAACAATACTTAAGTATGTGATGCCAACCAACAACCAATGCGTAAACAAAGTAGGATCGAAAGCATGACGAACAATTAACCAAAGAATTACTAAAACACACAAAATACAGACAATTTGTGTCCATCACCAATATGGAGATGTACGTCCACAGAGAAGAAGATGAACTCTTATTGATGAAGAACACCCAAACACTGAAGAAAAATTACAAACCGAACACAAAATTGTATATAATCTCTCTCAATATTTTCTCAACTCAAACTAGAGTTTCTAAGCTCTCAATTTCATTCTATACCAGGATGGAACTCAAGGGGTTATTTATAGTAATCCAAAGGTTGAATCACAATTTGATCCCAATACTGAAAGCTAGGAAAATCATACTTACCGTCGTGCACGATCATGCCTGAATATAAGGTGCGGTCATGCCTAATTATAAGGTGCAGCCTTGCCTAAAGACCCAAATGTTATTGTTTCACAAAATAACATTACGCACGCTCATGCTTGAATATAAGGTTCGTCCAAGCCAGGACATCCAAAATTCTGTGTTTTGCAAGGTTACATTACATACGCCCATGCGTAAATACAAGGTGCGAGCATGCGGCCTTGCCAAAAATTCTAGAAATTTCTATTTTACATATCCTTGTTTCGTATCACAATGTTTAACATCATTTACCTTATTTTGTAGCATTCTCGGCTATCAAAATGGATTATTGGTATATGTTAACCGGGTAAGCGTTTTCTCCCTTACTTACCGAGCAAGATTTTTGGTGTCTGTTATGTCTCTTTACTAGGTAACATTCTCGATTCTTACCATGCTCACCCAGTTAAGTAAACGCTGACCCGGTAAAGTTTGGTAAGCGTCTCCTAAGTAACCCGAGATCAATTTTATTAAAACATATTTGATTCAGTTATCAAATAATTTCAAAAAATGGAAAATCAAATAATCCGACTGAATAACAATTTGAATGAAATATATTTATTATGTTATTGGCATCTTGCCATACGATTTATGACGAGTTCATTCAATTAATGTGATGTTTACTGCCGCATAAGAGAAATGCATGACATAACCAAAGACAGAATTCCAAATAAGCAACGTGTGATTAAAGTGATCAAGTAAAAGTAAAGATACAGAGAATATGGAAGGTATGTAAGTTTAATTGTATATATGAAAGGTATGTAAGTTTAATTGTATATACTTCAAAAATTTATGGTTTTACACAAACACTAGAATGACAGCATCTTATCCATGTTGTAATGATTCGCACCAATCAGGGATGGGATAATGCTAATCGGGTAATATATCATACCAAAAACATGAACGAAAAATGTCAAATCATTGATCGAGAAATGAAGGCCTAACAGTCAACAAAAACGACAAAACCATTATATTCGACCTAACGACTAAAATGTGGAATACAACATGTAAAACAAAATGATTTCCACTTATCCTTCTTATTTTTGTGTATATTGTAGTTGGCTGGCTGGCTCTATTCGGCTACCAGAACATGAATAAGTTAAACCTAAAAAAAACAAAAACTGAATGTACAAAATTCCCTACCTCAACCGCCATGTTCTGCGTATCCACTCGTCTCCCCTGCAATTTTTCCCCATTCCATCCCAATTTTCTCCGATATAGCTACCTGTCATTAAACACAAATTAATTGATTCAAGGGATGGAGCAAGAATGATTGTTAATAGTTCCTAGCCTCCTCGTCAATTACCTATTTTCTTATACTCCCCCATGCACATATGAGTTAACATGTGATTACTAATCACGGTCAACGTACGGGCAAGCTTGGCACACGACCTCGGGTAGCGGTTGCATGAAGCACATATGATTTTAGTGTAAAATCACATGTTCTCTTATTTGGTTAATGTTCTCGTGAACCTACCTCTCTCTCTATACATTCACATATATACAGGGGCGGGTTTAATTGAAAACCGAGTTTTGATTGTAAACCGGGAAACAAAGGAGAGCGCGACACGTGTCTTCTTCCTTCGGGGTTATTCATCACGAATAATATATCATTCATGATGAATGTGTATTATTTACCATGAATAATGAATCAATTTAACATGGATCATGATCGTGTATTATGCATCATGAATGTTGTATTATTCATCATGAAGAGTTCATGAGCTTCACCTTCGTTATTCATACTGAATGTGGACGTCGGGGACACGTGTCGCGTTCTTCTTTGTCCCCCGGTTCACAAACAAAATTCGGTTTGCAATTGAAATTTTCTCACTCTATATATATATACACACACACATACAATAATGTTAGGTTCAAATGAGAAGTCCCCAAAATTTTAGAAATGAAAGAAACAATCTCAACAGCTAGTTTAAATTTTCTATTTCCAGATAATTTTTCACCAAGTAAGATAATTATAGAAAAAATCAAATGTACTAATCTATTTCTTATCTTTTTCATCAACAATTTTTTAGATATTAATAATTATCGATTTTTTATCCAGTTTTTCATCTTGAAACCCTTGATGATTTACAATCTACAAATCAAATTAAATTTCATTTGCCTATATCTCATATTTGAACACGAACAGTGGTGTTTTTCGTTCATATATTCACATGTGAATATTAACATAGGTTCACATATTTATCTCAATCATAACTTGTACGTGAATCAATGTAAAATTTATAGTTGAGATTCTGAATCAGTTTAAGATTCATATGTGAATACATGAATGTAACATAGATTCACATGTAAATCTTAATTATAACTTGTACTTAAGTCAATTTACAACTTAAAAGCGAGAATCTTAATTAGATTAAGATTCATATGTGAATCTTAAAAAATATATCGATCTTAAATTAAAGATTATAAAATTCTGTTTTTGTGATCGAAATTTATTTAAATAAAATATTGATTATATTTTAAATAATTTTTTTTTAAAATAGGTAATCTAATTATTATTTAAAAAAGGACGTGGATAAACTTTTGGAAAAATGAGTGCATGGTTTAATTATACAAAAGTTTTAAAATCCCTTCTCAATTTTTTAGATTATTTAAAAGTTAGTCACCAATTTTCTTATATTTTACATATTTTTACCTTACGATCTTGGTCATTGAAAAATCCAATCTAATAATAGTTGAGATTTCTTCTTATCTTCCAAAAAATTTGGGGCCTCTTTTGAACATTTCCTTATATGTATACACACATATATAAGAAGAGAGGAAGGTTTAAACGAGAACACTAACTATTTAATAAAACAAGAAAAATGTCGTTAATGTACAAAATCATATGTGATTTTACATTAAATGGAAGCAAAGACTTCTGAGACCACTTAAGTCGCAAGGAAAAGTCGGCAGGGTAATGTATGACATTACGTGAATCATGTATGATTTTGTACATTAACGACCTTTTTCTTGTTTTCTTAAATAATAGGCGTTCTTGTTTGAACCGGCCCATATATATATATATATATATATATATATATATATATACACACACACATAGGATCATGTGAGACCAGGTTGTTTTCGTGAGACCAATTTTTTACACGTGAAACTTCACAGCAAAACACTGTCAAGGCAACCTTCAGAGTATTTTTCCTGTGAAGGTTTAGATTTTTTTACCTTCACAATGTTTTGCTGGGAAATTTCAAATGTAATAATGTGGTCTCATAGGTCATATATATATATATATATATATATATATATATATATATATATATGTAGGGTTAGGTTCCAGTGAAAAGAGTTAAGGTGAGAACCCTTGGATGGATATTAGAATGAGATGCACTGTATCAATCTCCGTATCAATCACGATTCATGGGTGGGTTTGAGATTGATGGTGATCAAGGGTCCAGATCTTTCTCACCTTAACTCTCCTTCGCACACGATCTTTCGCCTATATATGTATGTATACATATATAGGATTGGGTTCCAGTGAGAGGGAAATTATGGTGAGAAACGTAAAAAGAGATATCCACTGTTGGATCAATCCAAATTGAATGTCAACGCTAATGAGATGCACCGGATCAATTCTCTTATAAAGTGCAATTCATGGGCAGGCATGAAATTAAAAGTGCTCAAGGGTTCAGATCTCTTAGTACGCTTCTCACATAACTTCCCTTCTCACATCATCCTTCACCTATATATATATATATATATATATATATATATATAGGCCAATGATAATGTGAGAAGGAGAGTTAAGATGAGAAGCGTAAAAAGGGAATTGGACTTTTGATCACCATTAATCTCAAATTTACCCATGAATCGCGCTTGATACGAGATTGATCCGGTGCATCTCATCCTAAGTGCATCCAAGGTTGGATATCCCTTCTCACACTTCCCACCTTAACTCTCCTTCTCACCGGAACCTAACCTTTATACATATATATAGGCGAAGGATTGTGTGAAAAGGAGAGTTAAGGTGAGAAGCGTGAGAAGGGATCTGGATCCTTGATCACCTTTAATCTGAAACTTACCCATATGGGGATTGATCCGGTGCATCTTGGTACATCTCATCTTGGTGCATCTCATCCTAATGTGCATCTAAAGGCGGAGATCCCTTCTTACGCTTCTCTTCTTAACTCTTCTTCTCATCGGAACCCAACCCAATATATATATATATATATACACACACACAAATAGATATATATATATATATATATGTATATAGGATTGAGTTCCAATGAAAAAGAAAGTTATAGTGAGAAGGATAAGAAGGGATCTCCACCTTGAATCAATCCTAATTGAAGATCAAAACTAATGAGATGCACCAGATCAGTTCTCTTCTAAAGCTCAATTCATGGGTGAGCATGAGAGATTAAAGGTGATCAAAGGTGGAGATCCCTTCTTACGCTTCTCATCTTTAACTCTTTTTCTCACACGACCCCCTCTCTCTCTCTCTCTCTCTATATATATATATATATATATATATATATGTTGATCCTCTCTCATTGATTTGATGATGATCCATTTTATCTATCAAAGTATAATGTTACTGTCATTTAGTTTCAGCGATCTTCACTAAGTCTGTTTAGTGATCGTTAAACGTGTATTGTAAATCGTTTAGAGACTATTATACTTGAAGAAGAAAAAACTCACACCACAGATCCTTCAGCAATGTCGAAGACAGAAGCTGAAGATTAGAGACCAGCAAGTTTGTGATCTGTAGCAGTATTCAGTAATAACAAGCTCGTTTACAAATGTGTCAAGTCTGCGCAAGATTCAGCGAACACTGATGAAACCTTTCAGCGTCATCCCAGTATTCAGCGATCAAATGAATCTTGTCGAGCAAGATTATTTTTGTCTTGTCCTTCCACACACAAAGGACAAACTCATACCTTTCTAAGTATAGTACAGTACGGAGCCACTCCTTTGACTCTAAACGTGCTTACCTACTTTATGAAAGAAGATTGTTCATATATGACCAAAAGCCTGCCATATCTGAACAGAGGACAAGTTTTCCTCTAAAAGCTTGACATGTGCCTTGTAGCCTCTGAATTGCATTTAATGCAATGAGTATAAATAATTGAGTGGTTCTCCTTTCAGTTATCATATTCCTCACTAAGAATTTACCCAAGAAGTTACTTCTTTCACTACTCTCTGTCTAAGAGAAAGATCCACTTTAACAAGTGAAGAACACATTTATTTTTACCTTATTTCTTTTAGCTATTTGTAATCTTGTATGTATCTTGGATTGTTTAGATAGGTTCTGCATTTTATCTCTTCCGCAAACAGTATGTAAAATTTGTATTGATCTTCTTTATCAATATATAATTTTTAAGTTTATGTGTTTGTATTCATCCCCCCTCCTACAAATTATTACCTATAAACTCTTGTAGATCCGGCTGTGAGCAACAATATATATATATATATATATATATATATTTGTGTGTGTGTATGTGTAGGGTCAGTGTGCGTGTAGGGTCAGGTTCAAGGAAAAACCGCAAAAAAATAAAAACTGAGGAACACCCTAGTAACCCTTCATCTGCATGGTACACATGTGCATATAAGTAATTTGGAAGCAATTTGTCCGGTATGCACAAACATGGACACGTGCATAAAACCATAAAACAACTTCAATTACTTGTACGCACATGTGCATACTGTCCAGATGAATGGTTACTAAGCATTCCTCAGTTTTTTGTTTTTTAGGGTTTTCCCCTGAACCTCCCTCTATATATTTATATATATAAGAGTAATGTTCATACAAGAACAGTAACTAAATAAGAGAATAAGAAGACGGTAGAATTACATGTGATTTTACACTAAAATCACGTGTAAAGTCGCATGTAATTCACGTGACTTTGGCCGGGACCTCACGTTGCTTGCACACCCTTGCGTTGCTCGTTAGTGTAAAAGCACATGTGATTTTGCATTTGATTTGGTTGTTTTCGTATTCTCTTGTTTTGTTACCGCTCTCATTTGAACCCCTCTCTCTCTCTCTCTCTCTCTCTCTCTCTCTCTATATATATATATATATATAATGTAGGTGTTCGGGCTAGCTTGTGCATAGCTTGACCAATCCGATAGCTCTGAACCACGAAAATCCCTAGTAACCCTAAAGATACTCGAACTATTGACCTATGGGGAGGAGCCCCAAGGTCTAGCCTCCGTTTCCGGGTTGAAAAAGGACATGTATGGAACCTTGAGAGGTGGTAACCAAGTATTTTTCGACTTTTTGGATTCCTTATCATGGATAGGGGGTATGCACAAATTTGGTCTGAGGCGACCAACTGAATCAGATTTTGATTCTTGCTTCAATATTTAACTCAAACCAGTAAAACCGGTAAATCTCTCCCCAATTCACATAAATGTTTCAAGACATTTTAGGGGAGGGAGGGAGCATGCATATTTTCAATCATAATCTCAAATTAACTAGTATGGCCTCTGTACCATTATCTCGTAACAATTATTTTGACACTTAACCAACATAGAAAATTGCATTACCTACTTGAAAAGATAAGGCAAATATATCCCAGTTTTTATGAAATGGAACAACTTGTTTGTATCTTTAAATGCAAAGTTATCTGTAAACGTACCAAAATGAGGTACGACTATGTTTAGAGATAGGAGGAAGTCGAATTGATATTAGAATGTCCAAAGGTAATGACTTGCACATTGCTAATTGATGCCATTTTGGTGCAAGAATCTTACGGTATTATTGTTGGCATATAATCTTAGAATTATTTGGTAAATATTATCTTGTAAATTGATTGATTCTCAATCTTCTACTTATGTCTAGTCAATATTCCGTGCAATCTTCTATTTATGCCTAGTCAATAATCTGTAATTAGTGCTTTCCTTATATTAATGAGTCTCTTAGACTAGCTTCAGCCTATTTAAGCTGCTTGTAACACATTGTTTCAAAGTACAAATGAATAAGAATTCTCCTTACTCAACATTTCAACTCACAATTGTAATTCACGATATGTTGAGAATGTTGCTTGGAAATGATGAACATTTGTTATTTGTCATTTTCTTTATACACCCTCTCTAGCCATATAGCAAAAGAGGGAGATTCAAATGCAAACCTTGTACTTAGAACAAACCATACAAACCAATCTAAACAGTCCATCTAGTCTGATGGAAACTGGTTTTATAATGAATGAATTCATCTTCTATAAATATCCAGATCAAAATAAATGAACTCTCATCATTTTAAAAAAAAATTAATTTGATTGGTTTGTATGGTTTATACTAATTAAAGGGTTTGGGTTTGAAACTCCCTTTATAGAGAAACTGATTAAATAATCAACTCCAGTGAACAAAAAAAGTAATATAAGAGGGAAAACTAAAAGGGTCTTTACCTGATTAAGCACAAATCCCTTCAACATGTTTTTGAAATCTGCCTTCCTTTCTGTGTCTAGCCTATCAATTTCAGTCCTGTTATTTTCCTGCACCAATGAATTTCTCGCTTGATATACTATTAAAGGTAAAGTACAAAACATGATTTGTGCATTGAGTGTAGAAGATGACAACAAACCATTATGCCATGAAATACATATGCATGTATAGAAAAAGTCAACTACTATACTGTGTAGTAAAATAAAGGTGGATTTATGGCAGGACTATGCATAACGTAAAATAAAGGTGGATTTATGGTTTCTTGATTTATGGCAGGACTATGCAAGTGAGGGCATTTAGGTGGATTTATGCAAAGAGAAAAAAAGTAGTAAAATAAATTCCTAGGGGGACTATCTGTTACTGTTACGAAAATCAAAATATGCAAAGCACCATCTGCCTGAAAAAATAATCAGATGAAAAGTTTTCATTTAACAATTGCAATCATATAAAGAAAATATATTTTGTAAAAGAGAGCTATTATCTTATTCTTTTATATGGCTTAGTTTAGGGGCCAAATGGTCCAAAACGGACGAAGCGCACCCAACCAGGAGGGATGAACAGGTGATGAACAATGTGGTAAATGCTACTTTCACAAACGACCTAGCTTGTTAATGCTTTTAAAAGTTTTCCAAGGATAGAAACGTGGAGCAAAAAGGCTAATTTCATACACTTGAAAAGCTATTATGCATTTGTGCAACTGTTATTGACCTGATAACTACAGTAGACTGCCTATCAGGTGAAAGAGCAAATAATTGGACCATCTAGCAGTTTGTGGTGCACCTCAGTATAGTTGAAGTGGTTTATATAGAAAAGTTACAATGACTGTTTATGCATATTTAACTGAAATAACGCAGTAATAAGGTTTGAATTTAAATAAGAATTAAAGTACTTGATAAATTATCAAGCTGGTTGTGCTTTACCCACGTTCATCCTAGGCCTCATCACATCAGGGTTTTAACTTTATACCATAGTTCACCACACACATCTGCAGCTCACAGAGAGACGTGGGGAAAGGTTGGTAGTGTTTTGCAGCAACCAATCAATGAAAATTGATGCTTCAATACACCAAAGACAGCTTTCAAGTAACTACCTAAATCCAAATGAGCATATATATATGTATATATATTGTGCAGAAAAACTGGACAGAGCCATGGAGAGAACCCTAGATCAGCAGTGAAATTAAATTCATCAGCTTCTTCTTTTGACCGGGACACCTAAGTTTAATGACACAAAAAGGATACTTCTTACATCTTATCTAGATTTCTGATGCAAGTCCCAAGTATATACTAATATAGAAAAAAATACTTCTTCAATAGATGGTGCATAACAAATTTCACCTTATTTATTGTTAGCAAAGAGCATCTTTCTAAAAGCAGGGATAAAAGATGGTAGTTTTCATCTTCGAAGTTGAAAATCTCTCCCAAGAATTTCTACATAACCACAGGTCCCGGGATCGAAACCTGGCTCTAATACCATAATTGTAACACAGTGGTTATAGAACGTCCAATTAACCCATAATCACCAAAACATTAATTTTAAACCTCCAAAACATACAGGATACAAACTTTAGTTTAAAACCACCAAAAATGTTCCAACGGTTTGACCCAATAAAGTAAAATACAACCAAAATTATTAATTACTTACAAACCGAATGAACCTAAATCAACCGAAACATAATATAACTACCCGGAATGATTAAAATATATATACATGCCAAAATATTACAAAACAAACATCACAAATCATGTACCAAAAACTAGATCAAGTTCTTCAATTTCAACCGAATCAACTATTTCACCGGATCCTTTCCCTTGACATGTTTCTTTTCCTGGAAGTTCTATTGGTATGTTAAGAGGATGATGATATAAAGCAAATGATTTAATATCAACTAGGACCATGGGGTAACTGGATTATGTAGAACTACAAGATAACATGAACATTCATAATTTTTTAAGCCTAATACAAAAGTCAATCTGATCATGCATAGCAAGTTGAAGAACATACATGCTATAGAGTTTTAAAGCATGTTGATGCTACTGCTTGCACATAATACATGGCCATTAAAAATTAATGGGGATGGGCATGAGAGGTCAGATTGTCATGCGAAGATGGGCATGAGAGGTCAGATTGTCATGTGAACCATTAAACACTTGGGAAAGAAGGGTTAAAAACAAGAAACAAATACTTTTTTAAACCCCACCGACCACAAATGGTTCCCATTAAACCATAAAAGAAGTCTAATATATCTACCCTAGGAGAACAGGAAAATAGATCAAGGGAAGGTACTTGATAACATCAGTATCAATTATGTTTGGAAATTTTAGAAATCAAGTCGAATGATATCAGAATCAAACATGAAAAGCATAATTTAGACCATAGAAGTAGAAAACCAACCAAAAGGTATATAAATCAAAATTTAATGATACCCAAAAAGGTGTAAGAGGATCAGAACAATCCAGGGGTGCAGGCAGTTGGACAAAAAAATCCAGGTCAAAATTGATTCTCGTTAACCTATGCAGTCAAAAGACATTATGAGCATCATTTCGGGTAATGATCTTAATGACGGGTAAAGATGGAGGAATTCTGCAAGCACTGGCAACCATTGGGAGAATGTCAAAAGCTTCAAGACAAAACTGACATCATTTGATGGTGAGTGGACTTTAAAAAAATTAGAAACATTCATATGACAGGCATAGTTTCTGATTATAGATCAACAATCGGTTTACAAGCACAGACTGCACAGTCATTAACAAGTTTGGGTAAACAGAAAAAAAAGGCCGAAAATACCTTAATCCGCTCGTACTCTCTCATAGCACTGTTTTTTGCATCCTCGGTGACTCTAATAGCTTCCCTAACCTCACCCAGTTTGAGTGTCTTTGACTTATCGCTGCCATATGTTTTGGAGGATGATGATTCCAGTTTTTCAGCTTGTGAGTACAAAGAATCCAGTTCAGTTGTAATAGTTTGAACAGTCAATAACGCACTAGAACGATCTGAGAATGCATTGTGGACTCCTAGTAATAATCCCATGTGATCATGAAGCATATCCTGCAGGACATATGCAGATTAAGATTATAGAGTATAGAAATGATAATTTGTTCTATAAATATACCACTTACACCGGTACTGGCATTTCATGTTTCAATGCCATACAATCGATGTCATTTCTGGTGATGCAATGTATGTTAAGTTTACTTTAAACACAGCATGATCAACAAAAGATAAGCTGGAAATGGAAGTTCTCATAGTTTCCCATATAGGGTAGTAGTTTACCAAATGATTCAAGGTTCAGAGAAGGGCAGTAGTTTACCAAATGGTTAACAGTATGCGAATTTAATTCCCGATATAATCTACTAGCTTTAATGGCAGTAGTAGCCAAATTCTTCATGTCAGCAGCCCTTTTCTTCTGAGTATCAAGAACTGCCTGGTCGTTTTCAAACTTTGTCACTTTAATAAATGCAAGCCCAAATTCCCCCATTGTCTCTGCCATATCTTGTTGAGCTTTGACAAACAATTCTGCCTGAATTCCATAGGATAAATTTTATATCAATATTGTCCATTAAAACTGAACTTCACATTTAAACTGTTATTGTATTAAGCCAGGAACACAGCTACAATCAATAATCATCAAACATCAGTTAATTATAAAATAATACAAGCACGCACACCTGCTTGGAAGCATTGGTAAGTTGCTTCTCAAGATTAAGCAGTCTCTTCTTATTTTCAAGAAACCCAGTATCTTCCTCAGCTATAGATGGTTTAGATCCTCCCCAATCATTACTCACAGCTTGGTTCATCTCCTTCATAATCCTTAGAAAATCCCACCTGCTTTTTGCAGGCTGCACAACATCCTCAGGCTGAATCCTAACACTGCCACCACCTGAAGTATCCCCAAGCAACTGTTTTGACAACCTTGTTGCGCCATCGAGCATCCTTGACGTTACAGCAGCAGTGGGCAGCAATGGAAGCTTTCCCTGAACCTGTAAAAACACTCTCAACTCATCACTCTGCCTGATGACGGGATGCTTGGCCAATCTCTGCAAGTATTTCTCCAATGCATTTCTTCTTTGTTCAACAAACTCATGCTTTTGCATAACTTGACTCTCGACTACACTCTTCTCTGGCCTGGGAGGTATAAAAAACCCTCGGTACGCCTCAAGTAGTCGGTCTGATAATGTTACCACGTCCTTAAACCGCCGCCTTACAGTAAACTGCGGTCCACCAAACTCTGGCATGTTCGTTTTCGTCGTGATTAGATACGTGACATAAGTATTGCCTCCCGGAACGATTGAATTCGATGATTCTACTTCTTTATGTGGATTCGACACTGTTATTTTCAAATACGGTGGTGTTGACAACGGTACCACGATTTCAGATTCTTCGCTAGGGTTTTCGACAGACAACGATTGATCGTCTCTATTTGGAGGCATGAAGTTCACATGCGCGTATGTCAGAGGGTCAATGCGTGAATCATTGTTCGAATTAGGGTTTTTGACTGGTGGAGGCGGAGACGGTGGTGAGAGTAAAGGATCGGTTTCGGCGGGGGTGGCGAGTGGGTGGTCGGAGTCATCCGATAGAATGCTCATCGCACTTCTGTAATTGGAGAAGGATTTAGAGGTCAACGAAGAATCATCGAGATGAAAGAGGATTTCTTCTTCCGATTCTTCCTTCGACGAGGAGATACGATCTTTTTTATTTTCCGACCCCTTCATTTGATTGAGAAAGAGGAAAATAACAATCAGATCATTACTTGACTATGAATTGATTCAAGCACCAAGCATGGTATGCAGCGGTGGCTGCCGGTGGTCGGAGACGTGTGAACGACGGGGGATCCAGATATTTCCGACGACTTGATCTACAGCTGAAGTAACTGTCTAGTTGAAGTTTTGATGGTAGTTGGATTAGCAAACAAGTGCATTCTGAAAAGATGTTTTCTACAGCGTTGTCTCTTTGCTACATCCAAAACATTTAAAGTTAAGTATTAAATATTTTTATCAAATAATTATTTTATTTATGTCTATATCTATACTATTTATACTACATTAAAAAAAACATGAAAGAAAAAAACCTCTTAATTACACGTCATTAACCATAAAGTAACATATTTTATGGAAGAATTTCAAAAAACTTATAACTACAACATTTTATTCACATTGTACAACTTGATATGGCAATGAGTATAAACCCACCACCAAAGAGGAAATCTTCATACCTTCCTTTTTTTTAGAAAGTTTTTTTTTATATGTCAGCTACCATGTTTTATAGAGTTTTTTTTTTCTTCATCTCATCACCGCCATCAAACAGGAACCTTTCAGAATTTCTTTCCTTCCTAAGAAGCTTTTTTGTTCATGTTTCAGTTCTCATGCTTTACAAGGACGATTATGTGTTATTTTCTTACAAAAAAAAGTCTCATCTCCTATTTTCAGCTTTTATGGCTACCTTTAACCTTTTAATCATAAAACTTGGAAGGTTAAGAGGGTTCTTTCATCGGTCAGCCTTTTCTTCTCCCTATTTCATGTCTGAAAAGACAGATCAATTGGAGAGGCTACCATCAAATATATGTGTATAAATGTGGTAGGGGGTTGTGTATTCCCATTCTAAGTTCTGTAATCAAATGAACACACATAGGTAATTTATTGAGTTCCAACCCATTTATGTGCTAATCGATTTTGTTGGTCAATCAAAGTATCTGTAATCAAGAAAATATCGTGGATTGTTTGTGTTTATTTTGTTTTAGTGGGTTTAAGCTACCCAATGACCATTTTTGATCAAGTAGGGTTAAGTGATTTCTACAATTGTTTTTTAGTGTTTTTGACACTCTAATAACCGATGGGTAGGGTTAAGTGACCATTTCGTTTTGTTTTTATTTTTTGTCTTTTGGGTTCAACTTCATAACTTTTTTTGTGGGGTTCTCAAATCGGTTTTGTTATAGGAGTTAATTGATTTTGTTGCACAATAGATATATGTTTCTTGATTTAAGCACATTTTAAAGTCGTATTATAAAAATGTTAATTGGTTTTATGTTGATCATCTCTCTCAATGATTTGATAATAATCATTTTTATCTTACGAAAAATACTTTCTCTTTATTAAGCTTCAACGATCATCATCGAGTCTGTTCAGTAATCGCTGAACAAGTATTGTATCTCTCGAGACAAGTATTCTTCAATAAGACAAAACTCACACCACAAGAACATTAGTGATATCGAAAATAAAGTTGAAGACAGAGACAAGCAGTTCGTGGCTGATGCGGTTTCATAACAAGCTTGTCTACAAATGTATGAAATCTACTCAAGATTCAGCATACACTGAAAAAACCCTAGTGTTATTCTAGTGTCAGTGATCAAATGAATCTTGTTGATCAAGATTAGTTTTTGTCATATCCTTCTACATACAAATGACAAACTCATACCTCTCAAAGTGAAGTACTCGTACGGAGTCACTCTATTTTCTCCAAACATGCTTACCTACTTTGTTAAAGATTACTGTCCATATATGGCAAAAGCCTGTATATCTGAAGACAAAAGACAAGCTCATCTCTAAAAGCTTGTCATGTGCCTTGATTGTCTGACTTGCATTTAATGCAATGGATATAAATAGCTGAGAAGCTCCTCCTTCTCTTTATGAAGAAGCCAAGAAGCATATATTTTGAAGATGAAACTCTACCTAAGAAGAGACTTCCTCACAAGCAAAGACTTTTTAACCTTACGAAAAAATCGTTACTTCAAGTGACGAACACCAACTAAGCTCTTCCTTTAGCGAAGTTATTGTTTCTTCTTTTAGCAAGTCTTTTCTTTCCTGCTTTTTGTATCTTGTGTATTCCCTAGATTGTTTTAGATAAGTTATGTATCTTATCTTATTCTGCAAACAGTTTATAAACTATGTATTGATTTTCTTTATCAATAAAGAATTTTAAAAAGTGAAAACTATTGTGTTTGTATTCATCCTCCCGTTCTACAAACTGTTACATCTAAACTCCCGTAGATCCGTCTGGGACCAACAAGTGGTATTAGAGAAGTGTTTTATTATCTCTTTTTTCTTTAAAAAAATTTATTTACCATTCAAATGGCATTGCAAAACACAAAGACCAGTTTTCAAGACAATGAGCCTCTAGCCAAACCTCCCTGGTTCATCAGAGACAACTTTAGTGTTTGGAAGAATCGGATGTCTTTTTTCTTGATTAACCCCGTCTTGATTGAAAGGAATTCTTGGTCGAAGGTCCAGTACAGTAGGTAGCAAGCGTGTTCATTTTGGTTTACAACAACCTTAACCGCACAAGCCTAGGCTAGGCCTACCTCCATCCTTAGAGGAGCCGTATGAGGCGGAAGCTCCACGTACGATTTTGAAGCATGAGATAAAATAATGATTGTGAGGCCCCAATTCTTGACTGGGGGGACATCGCTCAACGGATAAAAGTTACTCTAGGGATAACAGGCTGATCTTCCCCAAGACTTCTCAAGTCCTGCTTACCATAAAAAAGTGAGTAAAAGCAGGCGGAGCAGAATCTATAAAAAAAAAGCAAATGGAACCAACTCTTGTCGTTCAATATCTACTTGAACTCGCTGGAATATGAGTCAAAGCAATAACAAGAATATTTCTAGTTTCATAATTCCTGGAGAGAAGGTTCACTAATAGACCTATAGAACATCGAGGAACAAGATGATTTCAGAGACTACGAGTGTAATAGGACCATGTCGACAAAAGGATCACCCGATCTAAATCAAGCAGGTTTTACATTTAGAAGATTTGGCTCTTGATCAGTGGAGGAACAATATGACCATTGTTGTCAAAATACTTAATAGCATGGCGATACATTTATGCAAAACTTCTCAGTTCGTAATGAGAATATTTTCATCTTCTTTATAATCTTCTCATTATTCACATAAGGGCTAAATGTCCTGTCCAAGCCAAGGAACTTATGCCGAAGAGTCCTGATAAATGATGATTGAGACGAGATCCTGCCCTTTATCTCTATAAGAATGGCGCGTTCCTAGGTGTGAAGTGGGAGAGAAGGGATGTCATAATTGACCCAGATTTGGATGCTCAAGTAGAGCTAGAATTCTAACCTTATGTCAGGACGTACAGACCAAGGGACAATCTCAGGTAGACAATATCTATGGGATTTTAACCCTACGACACAGAAGGAATTGGAAAAGGCCTTACATAAATCTTTTAAATTTAAAACGGATCAGTCGGCCGGGTTTACGAATCCATTCCATAATGGAGATGTGTGTGTATAAGAAACAATATATTGATAAAAAAATCCTTTTGTAGCAAATAATTTATTAAAAAAATAAATTTGGGCAATAAAAAAGGAGTCGACCGTTCAAGTATTCGAAATTGCATCGGTAAATGAGTGGAAGCGAGACAGATGTATAGGGTATTCTTTTATTGAGTGGGCTAAAAATCGGAGATATATCGGAAATCCATATAGTAATTCCGATAAATTAAGAAGTCAGAAAGTTATCAAAAAGAAAAATAATTGAACTTAATTTTCTAATTTTGATTCAAAGGAAAGAAAGTATGGAGTTGAAGTAACTCACTCAGAACGCTTTTTAAAGGTTGAACCATCTAGTTTCCTTTCTGGGCGTGTTTCCTTTCACGATTCATCGATTAAAATCCTATTGTTATTACATATTTTTTTTAGTTATATTTAATAACTAACTATTGCTCAAACTTATTTGATCTTATCAATTGTTATAATTTTTCTCGAATAAATCATGAATTTTCGATGAATTCCTACCTCTCTATCTATCTCTGAGATGTTTGGATTTTTCAAAAAAATAATATAATTATAATAAAGAATATAATTATAATTATTATAATTATAGTAGCATTTATGTAAGAATTTTTTTATGGTTCATTTACGTTAACCTCTAGTTAAATTCAAGAAAAGTTCTTACGAATACAAACAGAGTGGAGTACGGTGTGTATAAAAACCCTTGTGTCAACCGGCGAGAACCGCGTGAATCAACGAAACAAAAAGCGGATATAGTCGAATGGTAAAATTTCTATATGCCCTTTGTCTCTGTGTTTTCACATCGAGAATTATTTGTATTTGTTCAATTGGTACTTCGAACTTGGAACGAGCATGAAGAAATTAACGATACGCCCCATAGAAACTGTCTACCTGAGACTGTCCCTTGGCCCGTACGTCCTAACACAAGGTTATATACTTTATTTGAAAAAAAAGAAACACGTCCATTCTTCTTCATTTTTAATAAAGTTAATTTATATGATAATATTACTTATTCAACAAATTCGATTGATTTATCCACGTTGTTTCTATCTACTATTATCTAAAAATAATCAAGTTATTGATGACTGGACAAAACCAAGATAGTTATTGGCCTAATCTCTCGAAAGAGTAATTTGAATCTATATATTTTCAAAGCCTATTTATACAGATATGGTCACTGGGGCGCATTTAATCCTTGCTTGTCTATTAGTTTTCAGTTCTTCTCTTCGGCGCGGGGTAGAGCGACCCCCTTTGTGAGGAGGCACCCCTTCTCCCGAAGTTACGGGGCTATTTTGCCGAGAAAAAGATTTTATTGTGTCACTTAAAATAAATTAGCTTAGAATTTAACTCATATTTATTTACTCCCAGAAATATAGCCATCCCTGCCCCCCTCACGTCAATCCCACGAGCCTCTTATCCATTCTCATTCAATCACGAGGTGCCAAACCTTCCCGTCGATATGAGCTCTTGGGCAATTACAACCCGTCTTTGCTCAATGGATTCAAAACACCATTTGTTAAACCCCATAATTCATAATGTAAAAAGTAATGAAAAACAATAAGTGATGAAGAACCAGAAGACCGATGAAGACATCAAGGCAGAAACGGCTAAGTCTAGAGCACAACCAGAGGACCAATGGACGACCAAGGATGCGATGGAAAGTGCATCTCCATCGACCCTCTGGTCAT